CACTTTCAACAAACATTGCCATATTAGTTAGCTGGATTTTGTTGCAAGTGGGGACAAAATAGTTTCTAAATGAAAACAATTTATGATTTAATCCTACTTCTATTATATTAAAGAGATGTTTGTTAGCTCTCAAAAATTGGGGAAACTCATGCAAAAATATCTTCATAAATCAATGATACTACAGGCCAAAGGAAAGGTATGTATATTGTGACCAGACTGACAAAGGGAAGTGGAAGAACAATGCCTCTCACACAAAACCAAATGTTTGAGAGAGGAACACTGTTCTTCTGGCTTTACTATTTTGTAGATGCAAATTGTAAAACTTCGCAATATGATGAAGCTCAAACTGATGGATTAGAGGAGCATTAATACTCACCTGTCATAGGGAAAACACCTGGTGGTGGTGGCTGGCCATAGGGTGGCATAGAAGGCATCCTGAGGGAGGGAGGTGGTTCAGTGATGGGGGGCATGGGCAGCCCGGCGGGTGGCAGAATAGGTGGGGGTGGGAACGGAATAATATTTGGTAGATTGACATCGTCGACTATGAGGGGATCACTGCCATGATCATAGAGACAATGGTCACCACGGACACAAAATCCTTTTTCTGTGCGAGGGAGAGAAGCGATTATTCATAAATATCGTACACAACATGGAGTTTATATAAACTGCTGCTTTACAGTCACAAAACACACATGCACACACACGCATTAATAAAGCCAAACAAACAAAAAGACCCCACACACAATAACATAAAAAATTCATGGGAATTAAACAAAATGAACAAACATCTGAGTTTAAAGCAACTAAGTCACACAGTTCATGTATTTACACCAAAGCCTCATTAAGGAACTGGGTCCCAAGTGGCTGTGTTTGAGCACTGTGACAGAAAGCAGTGTACTTCAGGGACAGTGGGTAAGTTTAAACTCTCCTGAGCCTCAGTGTAGAGGGGAGTGAGAGGGAACCAGCTTGCTTTTCTACCTTTCACTGGGGACAAGAGGATGAGTGCTAAGCAGTGGTCATTAGTGAAGAGACCAAACAAGGCACAGAAGCCTCAGGGGAAGAAAGAAGGTAGTGTTTAAACTAGAGACTTGAGCAAACTGTACAACAACCATCACAAACTTAACATTTCCTTTAAATCTCATCAAAAAGCTCCAGTGTTACTCTGATCCCCTTTGAAATGCACAGAAAACATCTCCCTAATGCTACTGGGCTGTAGCAGATAAAAGGCTCTCAGATGGAAAAATAAAAAATTAAATAAAAGACACACAGACACACGAAATGACAGAAAGAAGGAATCAAAGGAATTGAGAACAGGATTATTAACTCTGCTCCTACCATCGTAATCCCTGCAGCGCTGTTTGAGTGAAGCAGCCTTGCTGAAAGGTTTGCAAACACCATCTTGCCTCGTTCCGTAGTAGCTAGACCAGCTGTCTGTAGTGCTGTCGGGCAAGTGAGCCGGTGTTGCTACCGGTACACCCCCAGCTCCTGAAGACGAGGAAGAAGAGGAAAAGGGATGCAGAGGTGTGTGTAAGGGCAGGAGAGGTGGCGGGTGCTGCTGCTGCTGCTGAGAGCCGGATGTGGTGGAAGAGTTGTATCCATCAGTGTCCTTCCTGTCTGCCTCAAACTTTGACTTGAAGTCTGTTGAAAACAAGTTAATCACATAAATCATTGTGTACTGTATCATAGCTGACTTTTAAAAGCACTACATTAAATAATAGATTACAAAAAAGAGAGAGACTTGTAATGACAAAGATGAGCAGATTAACCTTGGTGGTAAGAAGACCAATCCCAACCCATGTTGTTGAACCCCCAGTGATAGGACTGCAAAGCTGTCCACATTCTCCCTTCCTTTCTACCAACTCCCAGCAACGCTGTCCAACAATCCGACAGGAATAAAAACGAGAGTCGGCTACATCCGTAATTTCTACAAGTCTTCTCATCTAAAGCGCCTCACACTAGCATGTCTCCAACAGCACCTCACCGTCACTAATGCACCGTTTAGCAGTGCTGACGAGAGATTCAGGAGCTTCTTCGCGCCTCAATCTTTGTTCCCCTGTGCTGTTGTTGTTATTGGTTGTGGGAGGAGGGACTTTCTCACCTCTGCCTCCTCTGTGCTCCCTATCCCTGCTCTTTCCACGACTGCCGCTCCTGCTCCGGCTGCGGCTCCTGCTGTAGCTTCTCCCGCGGGGGCTGCCCCTGCGCCGCTCATGGCGCTCCCGCTCCCGGTGGGAGTCGCTGACGCTTTTCCCGTGCCGATCAAAGTCACGGCGCTTGCGCTCGTCTCGCCTCCTCTCATCGCGGTTCCTGTGTGGATGATGAGAAGTTAGAGGCGTTGCTGATTTTAAATGTATAAATCACACAGGAATACTTCACAGGTTTTCAGACACGAATGTGGGTCTTCTTACAACAAATGAAGACGCAAGGATCATTTCTTTCTGTATGTCTTTAACATAACATGAACCCTGAAATAATGATCTTTGTTTGAGAGAAGTACGCTTTTATCTGAAACAAGTTATTAGGGAAAGGCTTAATTACCTTTGTTTTATGTGTGCACAATCCCATTAAGTCCCCAAATGGGCTGTTTGTGTTAAAACTATTGGAAAGTGCTTAGATTCATTAACAGAAGCTTTTCACAGCAGAAGCTCATGAAAGTAAAATAAAGTAAAAAAATCAATTTCTAAAAATATGCAGAAAATGCAAAAATATAACCTGCATATTAAAGCCGTAACTCTTTTCAAATTACGTTAATCATCGTATATCAGTGAATGAACTCTCTCATCTGCACCCAACACTAGATATGCCACAGCCAAGAGACACATTAGTGGACACGAGGGCCTAATCAAGCCAAAAGCAGGACTCAGAGGGTTGGAAATATAGCTGCTTGGTAAGATCGCTATACAACTACACAACATCAATATGTACTAAACAGTTCAACAAGAGCATCCTACCTGCAAATGTTTTAGCTGCTTATAAAGAC